TTTTATTTGGCTACCAATTGCGCTGATTGCCAGGTGTAGCCACAAGCCCTTACGAAGATTTACACAATTAATGAACAATTTATAATACAAAACAATTTCACTCAGATAAAAACCAATTACAACTACACCTTTTTCGAGCATATAACACTCTATATAAGTAAACAACACAGACCTCAATTCATCTATGGCACATATATACATCCCATACACAACCAAATAGTAGCATATACCATACACATGCATAACATACATACATACACACACATTCTAATGACTATGCTCACTCTCATACGTTCACACATAAGCAACGAACACAACAACACACATCATCTACACGCACCAACACACGTCCCGCAACATATTATACATCCTACATTTAAATGAGATAAACATCATATTTGAGTTACACAGTATAACATCACATATATACACTATACATAATAATTTGATCACAGTTAAGCAAAAATTAATAGTATTTTAAAGGCGAGAAACAAGTAAAAGAAGAGGTCGAGTAACAAAAGACGATAGCTATCTGATCTTTCCTGTAGACCAAAACCGTATACTTGCAAAAACTACGAGGCATCAACCAGTATTTGAATACCTATGCAACGCTGGTTATGATGAGGGTAAACCAGACCATGTCCGTCGCACTACTGACAAGCGTGACCAGCAATCCCTAAAAACTTCAAGTACATGTCGTGAGCGCATCTAAAATGGATGGGCTCAACCTGTTGCACGCGCTGAAGTTTTTGCAGTGTTAAATATGTTCATGAATGGTATAAGCTTGGAATGTAAGATTTCACTACTTTTTAATTTCTATTCTTCAATTTATCTAGAGCCTAGTCTAAATAAAATACGAGTGGAGAATGCGGCTATCCTCACCGTAACGGAATTAAGCGTGCTAATCATTGATAAACTAAGGTTTTTTTTTCATTTCAGAATTGGTTCATTCTACATGGAGAGATAGTGTACAAAAATTTAGGAGCAATTTAGAGAGTTTTTGGAACACGCGTATAACATTGCTTGTTTTGTGGAAACATACCCAGAGTAAAAGTTTTTTTAATAACAAATGTCAACTATTACAAGTTTACGTATAGGTTCCCAAGAGAAGATTCCCGTTTCTCAACACAAGTTATGATATTAACTTAGTACTAACCAATTGGTTGACTCTCGACTGAGGCTATCGAGAAGAAAGATGTTAATAAACCGTGACCAGACTGCTTTTCTCATACCACAGTAAAATCCCTCTCAAAATTAATTGCGGAGAAACTCAACCTTAACGAAGTTGCTTGTTGTCTATATCTTTAGTTACGTGTCTACTATATATGAATTCTGTTCAGTTTCTGTGAACCCGTACAAATATTTTTTACTTGGATTTTTCCTCTTGATTTCTTGTTTATTTCTTTACTTTGTATCTATTTAATTTTTGTGTCTTATTTCTGACTGATCTTTACCTCATAACATTACTTTAATTTCTTATTCGAGTGGAGAACATGGCAACCATGAGGATATCAATTGATGAGCTTTCGTGTTATCGCAGTATAGCTACAAAGTACCAAACTGAAATCATCCTTGTTTTAAGATAGAGTTATTTTTATGCTGTAATATTGGGTGGTTGCTTTCAGAATTAAGGTATTATACTACCTTCAAATAAATGATTGGCTATTCAACGAGAATTAATTTATTTTAAAAAACGATTTTGTAGTTCGTAGTAAATACAAAATCAACTATAATTACAGTCTCTCCTTAACGACTCAGGATATTCAATGACAGCAATTGCTAGATCAATTAATGGATCTCTGCATCTTTTAATACAGGAGTGATCGGAACGTCTCTGCAGGAATGATGAGCTAATTTGAAGCCGGAAAGAGGGTGTCGACACTTGCCGCTTGCAGCCATCTGACGCATTTGTGCGCGCTAGTGTCAGACGCCGACCTTCGCTACATCGGGGCCGCTAACGAAGTTTCGCTCTGAACATCATTGTCGAGTCTGCCTGGCCAATGACGTCCTGCTTCGTGGTCGCTGCATCATTTGTTGCGGCCGTATTTGTCCTTCGAAAAAAATGGAGAGCGAAAGACTGAAAATCAGGTACAATATTTTACATTGCAATCCAGGGTAAAATGCAAGTAAGTCTTTCAGATTCATTTTTGATGATAAAAAACAAAACAAAGCAATAGATACGCAAACATTAAAAAACTGCCCGTTAAGCAAGCAGTTCCTTCGATTACATTTTCAGGGACAAAATAGTAAATATTTATGTATGTAAGATAGCAAGAAAATCCACTGCCGTAGTTTCTTGACTCTCCAAACTAACAGTACAACTACCTTCGGTGACATACATATTCTGGGTGAAGAATTCAAGACAAAAAATGAACTCCTGCTCCCGTTAATATTTTCCCAAAAAAAAGCGTCGGATGCGGCGAATAGATATATAAAAACCAACAACAGCTAGTTACAGACATTTAATATATATCTGGAAATTTTTTAATCTAGATAATAGACACTTTAAAGGGTAAACGAACTCAAATTGATTCTATTATGTATAAGTAACAAAGCACTTCTTTCATACTTCTACCACAACAAGAAAGAAAGCTCAGGAAACTTGCGCATAGTGAAGCTTTATGTATGATATCCATTCAAAAGCAAAGTAAGGCAGCCAAGTATCACCATTTGGCTCAATGAATTCAGAGGATCATCATGAAGTGGCGTTTAGGAAGAACCTCCAACCTCAAACCAGACTTCCAATTTCCGGACAAGGCTGATAATATTATACGTAATGTTCCATTCCATCATTTTGGCAAGAATTCTGCTATGTATTTGGAACGTGCGTTTTCAAAACATAGTACAGACAATAACGTTTATTTGTTCTTTTCGTAATTTACTTTTCTATGCCTTACAGGACACAAAAGACCTGCGGAAATCTACAGTATGGTCCAGTAAATTCTCTTATTTTCCCTGAATATTCACACTTGTTGTTTGCGGAAAAAACGAAGATTGATTATTATTATTATTATTATTATTATTATTATTATTATTATTATTAAAAGGAACTTACGAACAAACGAGGATGGCAATACTGTTGTAGAACATATAAAATACACGGCAGAACTGTCAATAGTGATGCTGCTTTGAACACAAGAAGTGAAGCGTTTCGTCCGTAATATTGTATTTTTAGAAATAAATTATCGAACACCTACGTACAGTATTAACTTGTAACTTATTTAAATTAGAAGAACGCTCTTAGTAAATAGGAGGACAACTAGAATTGTGAATAATTTTAGAGAATGCAAGAACATCTGCATTCGACTTTTCACATTTAAGTTCTTGAGCTTTCAAGTTCAGAGGAAGACTCAAATGTAATTGTAGACAATTTTGTGACAGAATAGCGCTGAAGAAACTGATCAGCTGAAGGGTGATATTTTATATGCATATTAGCAAACAAGGGCACAAACGTAGCGTACTAAATTCGAACTATTTGCATCATCCATACCTGCAAGTAGTTTTTACGGCGATTACAATTTTTAAACTGCAGTTTTACACGTTAACATCCCGTATGGAGCTAACATGCAAGATCATTGAAAGTTGGGAATTTTTGAAGCGCAGTAAAATATTATCATCCACAGCAGTTCATTGGTATGTCCAATGCTAAAGACTGTAAGAACTTATTTGAAGTTTTGCATATTTCAAAAAATTCATTGCATAGAAATACTTTTAAAACAATTTACAGCGTTGGTAACTTCACATTGAACTAGTAAAGAAATAATTGTATGCTTTAACTCACCCTCTTGTGGTTTCCAATACGCGCACGTCTTTGTTTGCCCCAGCATCGGCATAATTTTAGTTCGCAAGAGAATGTCCACAGTTTCCCCTTGGGGCAGTTGCACGTATGATCCATTTCCATCCAAGAGCCCAACTTGCACCACGTGGGTGTTGATGCAGCCGCGCACCAAATCCTTGTGGTACGAACAGTGGCTTTCTGATTTAAATTCTTCGTTTTCTTCACTTTCCGTATGGTTCGGAAGTGTTGGTTCATGAACTGGGTTGGTACCACCGAAAGACATTCTGTAAGCGGCTGTGCTATTGTCTTTCTGAGATTTTGCGTTTGCTGGCCCTTTACAGGATGTGAAATCAGAACCTTTCGCAAATGTCACTACTACCACCGAAGTTTCTTTGCTTATCTTGGGTAGAATGACCGCCGCCTCCATCTAAAAATTGAATATTTGCTATGTTCAAGAATTAATTTTTTTAGACGTCGTGGTCTGAGACTTCTGCATCATTCTCTATTACACAACCATGTGATTTAACTGAAGCAAAAAAGGAAACAAGAACCTGACACAACAAAGAGAGTCAATCTGCTTTCCTTTCTTTTTTCTTACTTTATTACACTACTTTCACATGCTATTTTACACACCACTAAAGTTCTTTAAAATATCATTGTTTCTAAAAGTTAATACATCTACTTCATAGTGGTATTTAGGATACAGTTCTCTAAATATATTATTTTCAAGTTCCAGTTTTCTAAATACGAGTTAGGAAAAATATGGACAAAGTTCAGAATGAGGAAGTTCAATAGTTTTCTGATATATTATTAGAAACAATGAGGAAAGTTGTTTCTTTAATCTTGCAATGAGTAGTAAAGGGCAACCAATGTTCTTGAAACTGTAAAATATTAATAATTTATTACGATGTAGAATAGGTAAGAAGAAAGAAGTTACAGAGTCGGAGATTAATTTTTCTTTTCCCTCATATATATGTCTATGGCTGAGTGCTTTGGAAAAAAATTTTTTTATTAGAATTTCAATATAGTTTAAATTTTATTATTTTACAAAGTTTTTGTATTTCACGTTTAATTTACAAAAATAAGTCACATGTTTAGTAAAATCTTCGGATTATTTCACTAATGAAATAGTGGCCATGTGCTGTTTGGATTTAGGTACACTGTCTTTCCGTGAAAATCTACAATTATAAGTTTTTCACCAATATTTTTACATCCTCGAACGTGAAATTAAAAAGACTAATTTCACAAATACTATAATATATATATATATATATAATATACACACATATATATATATATATATATATATATATATATATATATATATATATATTGTGGGAATACTGTCTTATAGCACGAGGAGATAAGGATTTATCTTTCATATTTACAGAATTCGCGTTTTGTTCGCTTACCTTCTCTGTTGTAATACTGTCTCGACTGGAAATAGGAACTTGTCTGGGATTCTTTCCGAATGTTTCCAATCCTTCCAGTGGTTTGTCCGAAATCAATTGAAATCCAATGGCTTCGTTCTTGCTGACGGCGAGGTTGGCCGTTGTGAATGACACGTTTAACGGCGCTTTTATTAAAATTGACTCCAGAAGTTCCGGCAGGGATGACACATTAGCTACTCGCTAAACAGAAGATGAATGTCTAATGAATATGTACCACGGCCAATTAACTGAGTGACCAATCTATCTCAAAAATATCACTCCACTTGTACGAGTTGTTCTAGGCTTTTTTCAGTTCCACCAAAAGTTTCATAGTTCGAACTACGTCAATTTCACCAAAAGCTCGATACAAATTGAGAAAGGAATTGAAAATGTTTCAAATATATTCCATTGATGGTGCCATTAGATAACACACTATTTCGAATTGTTTGTTACTTTTTTAAACCGTTCAGTAGATTTCCTCTAGAAATGATATTCCCCGATCGATCTGATCGAACTCAATTATCTGAAAGTTTGAAATTGATATTTTGGTGTTTGAGGGTACTTTAGACCATTTTCCATGTTCAAAATTCTCTAAAAATATTGCACAAATAAAATGTAGTCAGTTTTTAATATTTGAAACAACTTTTTTCAAAATTCAACGTTTTCTTATATTCGTTCTTGGTATGTATCAAAAGACCGTAAAAAATTGATGATAGTCGCATGTTCTTCGAACTCTATTTTCGAAAATTTCAAAATTTTAACTTTTCAGAACTACAAATGTGGAGCGAGATTTTTGCGTTAAACACAATAAATTAGTGGCGCTACAACAGCACATACTTTCTCACTTAAATAAAAATTGTTTCTACGTAAAATTGAAATATTGTAATTTCTGCTCTACTAACAACTTAGCAACAACTTGAAAAAGTCCATTTCAAACAATTTCATTTCAAACAACATGCGCATGTGGTGTTTATTTCGTTTATTTTGTTAGAAATAGCAGTTATTTCAAACTTTTAAAAATCAAACAAACATACATACAAAAGAAGTAATAATATTTCCCACAAACTTGCGTTGATACGAATGTTGTCTACATCATACTACGATTAACACGACCGACAACAATGAGAAGCATTTAAATAATTTGAAACCCCCCTTTTACCATTTTGTAAACTCACGGCGCATCAAAAAAGCGCGGGAAATTCGAACTTACAATTTCGAAATTCTTACACATTGTAATTAATTTGATGTTATTAATTGTAATGTCGTCTTGTTTCACTATTCTGTATTTTAATTAATTTGTATTTATTTTAGTCCATTATTTGTAATTTTATATATTTTTCTGCCTGAGGTGGTCACAACTGGGTGGCGAAACGTCACAGATAATCCACATTACAATGTTTAATAAGAATGAATTGATATTCGAATGTCTATAATAATATTGTATTCCAATTCTCATTGAGAAATATTTTGTATTGCGCTATGTATGTGCAAGAATAACTCATCGGGTAAAGGATCGTTATAGACGAATATGTACTGTGATAAGCCGGAAAGCCCAGGTTCCGTTTGAATGGAAAAAACAGCGTTAAGTGGATGTAATACGATGCTATTGTATGCAAGCTTGGGAATCAAAGAATATGCATTGTTAGGAGAACAATAAACAGTGTAGTATTCCATGCTTGGTGTCATATGGCTGTTCATTTGGGGAGGCACGGCCCAGGAGACATTACATGCGAGGGGTATGGAGAAGGCTTTGAAAGCCGTGATTCTGTGGGAAGGAAAAAAATAATCAGCCTTTCAAAAGCTACCAACACACGGTGCTAGTAGTTTACTAAAACTATGAACAAGATTTATCCACTTTGTCGTTACTGTGGCTCAGCAATATGAGTTTTACTGTCGAAAATTGCCCGTTTTCTCCCGCAGCATTGCTATAGTTTATCTGCACTCCGTAAGCTGTAGCGCGAAAGTAAAAATCAGCGTTTTAAAAAGTGTAATGTACAATTTCTTGAAAAACTGTGTAGTTTACGCGTACTTTCTGGTTGAAACTAATGTAAATTTAAGATTTTTTTTTCAAAGAACAACTCAAAATGTTTTCTTCTTGTTTCTTCTGCGGATAGAAGAGTGAACGTTTAAAACAATGGGGCAGGTCTCCTTTACACTCAAATCTCTGTATTTTTCGCAAATTGCAAATTTAGAAATAAAGCAAGAAATTATGCTCTGTTGTAGCACCACTAGTTTATGTCTGAAATTACTCGCAGGGTTCAATATAACGCTTAGATACTAGAGATCTTACCAGTGCATTGCGCAGGACGTTGCCGCTTACATCAAACAGGTGGCTAAATGTTGATATTATTTCCTCTATGTCCTTTGCAGTCAAGACCTCGTTGCGAGGAAGTTTGACTGTGACGTACTTTAGAGTGCGTAATTCTTCAATTGTCTTCTCCAACTCTTTTGCCAAATAAAAGGAACTTTCCGGAGGTATGTATTCCGGGCCAATCCACCTTCTTTTATTCGGATAATTTTCACAAAAGTACCGCGCAATTTTATTATCTTTCGGCAAATCTACAAAATCTGGAAAAGTCACCCAAAATTTCATTTTTGTAGTACACATAACTCAATACATTTTTGAACAAGATAAGATCTAGTAATGAATTTTACTCAATTGTGCCTTCAGGGGGCTACCAAAGATAAATGAATCCTTTTTCAAGGAATGTAATGTCAAGAGCATTTTGAAGTAATATTCGATTTCCAAAGTGTGAAAGTTCATTGAGTGGATTATTTCACGAACTAAAAAAATATATATGGTTAGTAGTAAATCTTGTAATTGACTCTACTTTAATAATAAATATATCAGCACAACCAAGTTTCGAGCATATTAAACTTTAAACTGTTTTTCAACTAAAAGCAAGGTCGACAATCGTGTAAATTTTATAATAATTGAAGGTATTACTCTCACACTCCAATGTTTTTTACGTTGAACAATAAACTGAAAACATTGATTACGTTTCTTTTAATGTTGCACATCTAAACGTTGCAAGGAAAGTCAATCATTAAATACAATGTGGGTAATTTTCATTTTCTAGAGTGAGGAGTAAGGGTTTCTGTAACAGTAAAAGGGGCCCGTTTCAGTTTTTAACAAAGAGAGCAATTGTTTTTGAGCGGAAAAGTTCCGCGACTAATAAAGTTGATACATGCGATTTTAGTAATGTGATTAATAACTGCACGACTATTTTACGGGCACAAACATACATTTTTTTAACACGGCGTACGCGAAACGCGTGTTTTCGTACTTGTTTTCTGTGTGCGAAACAGCTAATTTCTTCACAGGGTGCGAAACATTGCGAAGCGTGTGCGAAACATCCGTCACGATTCGCAATTGTTTTTCGTCTTGATCTTTTTGTTTATTACTTGCAAACAATGATGTTACGATACTGGCTGGAATCCATTTACTTTCGTACCAGTAAGGAATCTTTAGTAATTTTATTTTTAATGTACATTCCTTTACTTGGTGCATTGCGTTTTACTCACGGTGTGTTAAAAAATAGTAAATGCAACACCGGCGTGACGTGATTCCCGCACTCCTCTCTTTGTTGCTTGAGTGTGGCGAAGGCGACAAAATTCGACTCGGGCGCGAATCACATGTTTTGCGCCCTTGTTACGTAAACTACTACTGATAACTTGATTCTTCGATTTTTATATAAACAATTATGCAATATTTTCTGAACAAAATAATGAATGTTTCATATGGGTAACATTTCGGAAAATTTAACAAAATATATTTTAAAAATTACGTATCAAGCGGCGTTTTTTTAAATGTCAAATTTTGTTTGTTCCAACTCTTGGTGGCTCTGCTAGTCTGGCGCCGGCAGTATGTTGCAATGCTTTCTTATTTGTTCTGTGTTTGCATTTACTATGCCTGTGTTGATGACTGATCATTATTTTCTCGTAGACACTGCCAGATGTTAAATTGAAATTCCAGTAAGTTACATTTTATCATAAAAATATTTTTTTTAAAAAGACTATATAAGCTAGGTAGCTCAAATTTTCAGGTTAGTTCAGGACACTATTTACAAAAATGTAAATTAAGATAAATGACCTACATTCCTAACAAACATAAATATAATGACAAACTTTTTAAAATGTTCAGTTTTTAAACACATTTAAAAAATATTTGTCAAAAAAGTATAAGTAAATTATTTCATAGTAGTCTAATATTTATATAATTATGAGGTATAAAAGCCTACCAAATCTGATGAACTAAAGTGAAAAACTGCATAATACAAACAAAATGTCATAATAAACTAAAATATTACAATTATTGTAATATTTTAGTTTATGTATTGTTTTGTATAGTTTTTTGTTTTTAAATTGTTATAAAAAATACAGTAAAAATATTAAAGGAAAAGTGCTATTAAATTTTTGATACATAGGTATGCAGATGTAATTTCAATTGACAGTGCTATCAAAGTTTTCTGGAAGTTGGGGTTTGAAAATGCCTAATTTTGCTCATTAACTCTACTGCGTTCACATACATGTGTTCCTAATTTAGAAGGAATCCTAAATACTCGTGATACGTTCTACATCCTGAAATATGCGCGAGTGCTCTAGCGGGCACATTCTCCCTTGCATCAGCCTTCCCACAATGCATATTTTATGCCACGGAGAGACGCACCGTTTCTATTTACCTCTATCTTACGGCGATGCGATAGGAGCTATTTATATAATTACCACGAAATATCATTGTGAAAGCCAGATGTCAAAAAAGAATCTGGAGAATGCAGCTGAAATATGGAGTTGTACATTACCTACAACTCCATGTTTTAAAGAGTGAATGGAAAATTGTGTGAATGATTGATAATCCTAAGCAAGAAATGAAGGAAGAACCAATCATTAAAATACAACTGTTCTATTAGTCTAACGTATTTAGTGGTTGAACGGAAATATCACATTTGAAAGTTATATATTGTATATTGTTTTTATAGTTAGTTTATATTGTTGATTTTGCATTATTTTATATTTATAATTTCATAATTCATATAAATGTAATCATTGTTCGAAAATATTACAAATCTTTTGTTTAGTTGCTTTAAGAATAAACTGGTTGTATTTCGATTTTTGGTGGCAGTATTTTCATATCAAATGCTTTTCACATGTGACAGGTTCACATGACTCAGGTCTTGCTCATTTTGATGAGGAAGCTTGCTGGACTGTTAATACCCAAGTGATTGAAGGGCGAAATATCCATAGTAACCTTGCGATACTGTACAAATCTCTGGCTAGATTACCGGCTAGATAAATACTTCCGACAATTCCCATCGTAGTGAGATGATATAGACACTTAGATGGAAAACATCTCAAGTAATAAATAAATATTACTGGGGGCGGTTTTGTGGCGCACCTATGCGGTTTATATAAGAGTCAAAAGTTACTATTAATCCTAGGAGTCTATTATAAACCAAATAATTAGTCACTTAGAAAAATCTAGTAATTTTGCCTGTAGTAGAGGTGGGCGCGAATTGTGGTTGGATGGATCAGTGTCCAAGTGCCACACGCGCACGCACGCACTCACGCGCGAATACACACATGCACACACACACACACACACACACACACACACAATCTCGCATTTGCCCCCCGCGTACGTGCGGGTTTGCAGAAATCGTTTGTGATCGTTGCATCACGTTTAGCATCTCTGCTTAGTGTTCACATCGGGCTGCAACACACCATGGTTCCACATACGGATGCTCCATCAATGTCGCTGTTTTTAAAACATTGATGTTTTAACGTTTATATTTTAACCGACGTTTATTTATTAATATACATGATTTGAGTACGATATTTTTGATTGGTTGATAATTAATTGTTAAATGAAAAAATAGAATAATAAACAGCCAATAATTTTCAGATGTCCGTAAATTGAACATTCTGCAGACCATAGTGGCCAAGAGTATTTGTTAATATGGTCGTGTTTTAGTATAAGACTGAATAAAAGTAATAATTTCAGCAAATATTGAAATATTTAAAAAAATTAAATATCAGCATTACGTAACACTAAACTATGACCCCCCTACCCCCACGCAACACTGACTCAAACCCCCTCTCCCGCCTTGAGCGTTACGTAATTTACGGGCGACCCCTACCGTCTGTGGGTATCAATTGTTTGTGGCGGGGACGTCGTACCCAGGGCCCGGCAACTCTCCATCAAAATCGGGGACAAAGCTCGAGGTTGCTACTATAGGAAGCGCTGTGTCGTCCGGTGCAGCTTGCAGGTGTAGGGCTCCGCAACTTTTCCCACATACAAATTGGCTAATTTGTTTGAACAATACGAAATAGTGTTCTTCTAAATGTATAATTATTACATAATCTCTACTTGGTCAGAAGCTCTGAAGGAAAATCACGAACGTAGACGTTATCTTTTAGTAACATTATGGCCTGCTTGCGACCGCGAACTCACGCAGCAGCACGCCAAATTTAAGTATCGTTTGGCAGTTTTCCTGGTTTTTAGTTCCTGTAAAGAAGGTGAACAACAGGCAGAGTCGCGCCACCGGTATTGGTTCTCACACGTTAAGAGAGGGAGATTATAGGGGCCCGTACGTTACCTCTCAGGCGGCTTCGTCCTGCAGTCCCCAGTAGGCCTGGAGAACGGGGCGCTTCGCGGGTCAGCGGAGAGAAAAAGTCGCAGGCCCGGCGTAGAGCAGGCGATAGAGCAGTGCGTGGCGTCAGCAAGACAGAGAGACACGCCGTCGCCGTCGCAGCTCGCCTAGACAGTGAGACTGATAGCCGCAACAGCACGTCGCCCGCGCACTGCAGACACTGCACTTCCGACGCAACTTTAGATGTGAGAGACCTGAGAGAGAGATTAAAATGTTATGGTTTTTTAAACACCTTATTCTACAACATTGAGAAAAGAGATAAGAGTACTGGAACCAGTCGGTAAAGAGCTTCGCACCGGGTCTGATGATTGACTGGGGACAGTGTAAAAATTGTCAACAAAACAGCCACCTGTCCCGTCGTTATTAGCTCCGAAAGTTTGAATTATTTTTATAAAATAATAAACATTTTAAAAAAACAACCAAGTCTAAAAAGTGAGATTTTGAGATAATAGAACTGTCGCTAACGCTTCACAGCCGTCATTTGCTGGTTGTGTTGTTGTGAACAAAATCAGCCCCTGTCTGTCGTTATTAGCTCCAAGGTTTGAATTATTTTCATTAAAAAAAATACAAAAAACACCCAAGTCTAAAAAGTGAGCTTTTGAAATAGAACTGTTGCTAACGCTTCTCAGCCGCCATTTGCTGGTTGTGTTGATGTGAACCAAATCAGCCCCTGTCTGTCGTTATTAGCTCCAAGGGTTGAATTATTTTCATTAAAAAAATACAAAAAACACCCAAGTCTAAAAAGTGAGATTTTGAGACACTAGAACTGTTGCTCATAGCTTTGCAGCCGCCATTTGCTGACTGTGTTGTTGTAAACAAAATCAGCCCCTGTCCGTGGTTATTAGCTTCAAAAGTTTGAGAGATTTTGATAAGAGAACCATAAAAAACTTGTCTAAAGAAATGAGATTTTGAAATACTAGAACTGTTGCTATAGCTTTACAGTCGCCATTTGCTGACTGTTGTGAACAAAATCAGTGTCTGTCCATGGCCATTTTCTCCGAAAGTGTGACTCGCGTGAACTATTTTGATGAACTACCACCTTGGCGCGAATAACCAGATCGCATCACACACGAGCTGCTAATTCACGACACAAAATCTGCGCATTTGCCCACGAGTAAACGTGCGGGTTTGGAGAATCGTTTGTTAATCGTTGCATCACGTTTCGACACTCTGCTTAGTGTTCACATCGGGGCCTGGCGACACACCATGGTTCCACATACGGATGCTCCACGTCAGTCGCAGTTTTGGAAACATTGATGTTTTAACGTAGAACCGGACGTTTTTATTTATTAATATAACAATGGTTTAGAGTTCTGATATTCTCTCGCAATTGTCGTATAACTAATTGTTAAAAGAGTAAAATAGAATAATAAGACAGTCACATAAGTTAAGATGACAGAGAAATTGATTACATTCTTGACTGGACCATAGTGTCATTTGTATACAGTTATAATGGTTCTCGGGGTTTTAGTGTATAGAACTTTTGAAAGAACAGTAAACTGTTGAAATATTAAAAGAAAAAAATAAGTAAGCATTTAACGTGCAGCGTCAACAAACCTATGACCCCCCTTCCCCCCACGTAACGCTGACTCAAACCCCTCTCCCGCCTTGGAGCGTTACGTAATTTTAACGGGCCGCCCTAACACCATCTGTGGGTATCAATTGTTTGTGGCGGGGACGTCGTACCGGCCGCGCGTCTCCATCAATCGGGGACAAAGCTCGAGGTTGACTACCTATAGGAAGCGCTGTGTCGTCCGGTGCAGCTTGCAGGTGTAGGGCTCCGCAACTTTTCCCACATACAAATTGGCTAATTTGTTTGAACAATACGAAATAGTGTTCTTCTAAATGTATAATTATTACATAATCTCTACTTGGTCAGAAGCTCTGAAGGAAAATCACGAACGTAGACGTTATCTTTTAGTAACATTATGGCCTGCTTGCGACCGCGAACTCACGCAGCAGCACGCCAAATTTAAGTATCGTTTGGCAGTTTTCCTGGTTTTTAGTTCCTGTAAAGAAGGTGAACAACAGGCAGAGTCGCGCCACCGGTATTGGTTCTCACACGTTAAGAGAGGGAGATTATAGGGGCCCGTACGTTACCTCTCAGGCGGCTTCGTCCTGCAGTCCCCAGTAGGCCTGGAGAACGGGGCGCTTCGCGGGTCAGCGGAGAGAAAAAGTCGCAGGCCCGGCGTAGAGCAGGCGATAGAGCAGTGCGTGGCGTCAGCAAGACAGAGAGACACGCCGTCGCCGTCGCAGCTCGCCTAGACAGTGAGACTGATAGCCGCAACAGCACGTCGCCCGCGCACTGCAGACACTGCACTTCCGACGCAACTTTAGATGTGAGAGACCTGAGAGAGAGATTAAAATGTTATGGTTTTTTAAACACCTTATTCTACAACATTGAGAAAAGAGATAAGAGTACTGGAACCAGTCGGTAAAGAGCTTCGCACCGGGTCTGATGATTGACTGGGGACAGTGTAAAAATTGTCAACAAAACAGCCACCTGTCCCGTCGTTATTAGTGCGCAAAAGTTTGAGTTAAGAGTTTTTATAAAATATTGTAAACATTAAACAAAAAACAAACCAATTCTAAAAAGTGAGCTTTTTGAGACGCATTAGAACTGTCCGCTACAACGCTTCGACGGCCGCGCCATTCTGCTGGTTGATGCTGTGTGAGAGTGTGTAGTCAGCCCATGTCGGCGTATTAGCTCCGAAATGTTTGAGTGATGTTTTATAAAAATGAATAAAACATTTAAAAAAACAACCAATTCTAAAAGTGAAGATTTTGAGATAGCTAAGAACTGTCGCTGAGCTTCACACGCGCTATTGTTGGCTCGGAGAGAGAAGGAGAGTTCGTGAAAATCGGTCCATCCCTGCTCTGTTCGTTATTAAAGCTCCAAGGTTTGAATTATTTTCATTAAAAAAAATACAAAAAAACACCCAGTTTAAAAACTGCCAGATTTTTGAGAACACTAGACTGTTGCTCATAGCTTTGCAGCGCCATTTGCTGACTGCGTTGTTGTAAACAAAATCCGTGTTTACTGTCCGTGGCTTTATTAGCTTCAAAAGTTTGAGGAGATGTTTTGGAATAAGGGAGAACCATAAAAAACCTGTCTAAGAAATGAGATTTTGGAGATATTAGAACTGTTACTAAAGCTTACAGCCGCAGCTGCACTCTTGTGAACAAAAATAAGTGTCTGTCTCCATGGTCATTTAGCTGCCGGAAGTGTGACTGATTTTCTAAAAGAACCATAGTCCAGAGAATTATTGTAAAACATCATAGTCCACTAAATGTAAGTTTTCTCCGTGATTATTTTGTCAAACATAGCTTATCCAAATCTCGGGAGAGGAGAGAGAGAGAGAGAGAGAGAGCTGAGAGAGAGAGAGAGAGAGAGAGAGAGAGAGAGAAGAGAGAGAGAGAGATAAGAGAAACGATAAAAGAGAAGAGAA